TTTTTTTTTTTTTTTTTTTTTTTTTTGGTACCAGGGATTGAACTCAGGTCCTTGCACTTGCAAGGCAGGCCGCCGAACCACTGAGCTAGATCCCTGGCCCCGAGGAAAGGAGCTTTTATTTGACAGATTCCCTTGCTTGTATTCGCACTCTCAGGAGGCTTCCAGAAGAGGGGCTGGTCTGTGCATATCAGTTTTTGCTGCTGTGACTTTCTTTACTTTGCCAATGAACTCATAAACTTAAGAAAGAAAGTGATTAGGTCAGTATTAAGAAGTAACCATTGGCAGGGGTTATCACTCAATTGAGTCTAACTCAATTTCAACTTTGAATCCTGGGGTGACTGAATAGGTCATTTTCTTAAAAAAGATATAGGCAGATGTTTGACCACTGTGCCCTTTAGCTGAAGATGTCACAGGCTTGAGGAGCTGGTCGTGAATGTTGTGAGCATAGTCCTGCCAAGAAAATTCCATTTTTTGTTTTTGTTTTTTAAATCCCGTTCTTTATGACTCTGAGTTAGGAGGTATGTGAATGTTTTCTTAAGTTTGAGACTCTAGCTTCTTTGCCTCCTGCTGCTTTGATTCACTCCAAATATACATGTCTTCTCTGGGCAAGGACTTTCTTTCCTAGGAACATTGTGGGCCATGGTCATGCCTGCACTGCACTTTGAGCTTAAATTGCGACTGGCACTGACTTTCTTTGCATCTGTTAAGGTGGGGGTAGAAAGGAGCGTGGGGAAAGCAGCATATGGCTGTACAGGAGGTGTGCAGAGGAATGTGTCACTGAAACTCATTTCGTGGGCCCCATGTCCTCTGGGTGTGGGAAGCAGAGCTGGCTGACAAGTGCCTTCTGTGAGATGAGTGATACAGGAAGGGCCCCTCCCACTGAATGCCTCTCTGTAACTCAGCTCAGTTTGCTTTTCCCCAAGCACTTCCTTGTATTGGACAGAACTATTTCCCAAGGAAGACAGAGATGAAGTATCCTTGTTTGCCCAGTAGCCATCTCAAGGTGTCAGTAACATCAATGGAGATGATTTGTGTTGAAGTTTCACCTGGAGAAACTTCAATCACTTGGCCATTCTGTGATCTGGTTAGGGAAGAGTCTAAAAAGCACAAGTGCTGCCTGTGCTGAGCTCTGCACATGCCTGTTTGTTCTGTTCTACACAGTGTTACTAATGAAGCTGACCAGAAGCCCCAGCTGCCCTTTGATCTCACTGGCATAGAGTAGCAAGCTCTCCATGGCTGGAAGAGTGCCACAGCTCTCTTCCCGAAGTAAGGAAAAGTCAGGGAGGTAGTGAATGTATAACGCAGTGGTGGGAAGATGGTGTTGACCTGAAAAACTACTACAGTCCTTTGGTCTATAGAAGCCCAATAAAAGTAACACTTTGAATAGTATGTCTTTGTCTTTTTAGCCTCTTCCGAATGACAAAACAGTACTTTATAATCCACTTCCTCCTACAAATGAATCAGATGTCTTCCGGAGGCGCACAGCCCATGCCTTTAAAATTTCAAAGATATATAAGGTAAAATATCCTGTAATATATTCTAGATGGTTGGTTCTTTGTGATATTAACAGACATATGCTCAACAAAAAGAACAGAAGAGCCCCTTCATTGTATGGGCATAAAGCGTGGTTTGTGGGAGAGAAGTGACCTTTCTGAGGTTTTCTGTCACTTGTGTCTGTATTTCAGTGTTCCTACCTCAGTAAGTTACTGGAAGACAGACATATCACACTTAACCTCAGATGAAAGCTGTATGTAGTAGAACATGATGCTGATTCTTTGGTGGGGGTCTCTGTTAGTGTGAAAGCTGGATTTTCAATTTGAAGTGTAGTTGAATGATCCACAACATAAATTTCAAGCAAATGGAAGTCACTGAATATATTTTGATTTTCTCTGTTCTGATTAATATTTTCATGGTATATAAAACATGTCCATCGAGATTATCATGTTACAACCATCTTGCCCAGCTCAGAAGTTCCACAAGCATACTTCTTATGGGTGAACTCAGTTATAAGCTCCCAATCTTTCCAACTGTTTTAAGTCTGAGGGCTGGAAAGCTTGTAAGACTTAGATCCTTTGACTTTGAACAGGCTAACTTAGCTCTGTCCCTGAATCATAACTACTTGTATCACTTTCATTTTTCTGCAGCCCTTACTTTTTATGGATCTTTTGGATGAAAGGACACTTGTGGCAGTAGAACGACCCCTTGATGATATCATCGCTCAGCTCCCCCCACCCATCAAAAAGAAGAAATTTGGAACCTAAAACAGGGCATACTCTGTCCTCCCTTGAACTGTCTACACTGTTTTCTTTTCACAGATCATGACAATAAAACAAAGTTATTCTTTTTCTTTTCCTTTTTCTTGGTACCATGGATCAAACGCAGGTCCTTGCGCTTGCAAGGCAGGTGGCAGCACCACTGAACTAAATCCCTAGCCCCAAAGTTATTCTTCAGGGCTATCTGTCAAAATAATGGACAGTAATTCTCTTCATTGGATGAAGATGAATGGAGGTTTACTATAAAACTCTTAAGGTATTGATGGTTGGGATATTGTTCTAAGTAGCTATAAATGTATCCACCTTTTTCTGGATTCTATTTGTTCTTTAGAACATAGTCTCAGTAAAGAAAAAAAAAGATGTATCCTGTGTTCCCTAACAAGGCTTCCAGGATGGCTGGTGGTCTCATTCTGCCAGCCTGCAGCCTATGCAAAGACATAGGAACCTATCCAGCATTGCCCAGGAGGGTGGAAGCTGTGATAGTTACTCAAGGTAACTTTACCTCTAATTGCCATAATCAGCCTTATGCTTCAAGGAAGAATTCAACAGCAGCGGCATGAGGGAGTGCTCCCTATGAGAATGCCTCTGATAAGCTGTTGATTTTGTTTAAAAGGAAAAAACATTAGGCTTTTACCAGGCTTTCACCTGTCTTGTGCCAGTTTCAAAAGGTAAAGAAATATTGGCCAGGCACTTTTGGGGGAGGGGGAGTGCAGGGGGGTACCTGAGAGCCAGCTTGCCATATATATTATCCTTTCTGCTCTCTTCTACCTGCTCTGACATTGTTATCCCCATGGGTGTTCTCAGCTGACTAGTTTTGTTTTTTGTTTGTTTTTTTTGGGGGGTGGGGGTTGAGACAGGGTCTCTATGTAGTTGAGACTGACCTGAAACTCACTATGTAGCTTAGGCTGGTCTCGAACTCACAGTGATCCTCCTGCCTCAGCCTCCCGAGTGCTGGGATTACAGGCGTGCACCACCACTCCCGGCTTCCTAAACTGACTAGCTTGCAAGGCAGGCCACCGAACCACTGAGCTAAATCCCCAGCCCCTAAGCTGACTAGTTTTAATGTGATTTTTAACTAGAACATGAAGAACTCTAGTTAACCCAAACTACATGGATAGAATTCTTCCACATCTCAGTGAATGTATCCTGTTGCTTGCCTGAAACCCAGTCTATGCTTTTGTTTGTTTCAGGATTGCAGGCTGGGATATGAGCAGGGAACTGTGTGGTTCAGATGGCATCATGAATAAGGTGCTGAAGAGAGACATTTTGCTAAAATGAACCCCATCCTTCCAGTCAGAAGGGGAAATTTTAAGGCAGATGTGTGAAGGAGAATTAGTAGCGGTTAGAAGAGAGCCAGACAGCCCAGTCATTAATGATAGAAGGCACAGTGTTCCTTTAAGTCTGAGACAAGGGAACCAAAACAAGATTTACAGTAGTTGCTACTTCTCTGCCTCACCTAAGTTTTAGCAATAGGAATAATTCAAAGAAATAGCTGCAACTTATTAAATCATTGGTGTGAGAAAAGTAACTTCCTTTCTTATGTGAGTAAGTTTCTTTGTGTAAGTAAAGCATTTGCTCCCAGCTTGCATTAGACTGGACTATAAACATATTCAGTAAGGCAGACAATACTGGCCTTACTAAATAAAATGTTTTAGGTCCTTTTTTTTTTTTTGGTATCTGGATAGAACTTGACCTTTAGCTTACAAGGCAGGTGGCGGCCCCACTGAGCTAACTCCCTGGCCCAGGTCTTTTATATAAACACCAAAGTTCATTGAGGGTATGGTGGCACACACCTGTAATCTCAATTACTCAGGACATTGAGGCCAGCTTGGACACCTTAACGAAACCTTGTCCCAAAATTAAAGGAGTTGGAGGAATGGAGATGTAGCTCAGCATTGACATGCTCAAATCCCTGTACTGCAAAAAAGTTCAATCACTGGTCTGCATTGAATATGTACAGAGGGAAGCTGTGGTGTCTTAAATATTAACTTCACTGTTTGTAAAGGTATAAGTTAAGGGGAACCTTATTAACTGGAATCTAGTTTGTGACTCGACGTACCTCTTACTTTTCTTTTTTCCTTTGTGGTACTGAGGATCAAATGCAGGGCCTTGTGCTCTGCTACTAAATTACATCCCCACCCCACTTAAGGATATCTGAAACCTCCTACATTGTGGAGGTTATGCTGGTAGAGAGTGGGCTCTCAGATTATACGAATAAAGAAATAAAATTTGAGCCATGCGTAGTGGTGCACACCTGTAATCCCTGCACTTGGGAGGCTGAGGCAGGAGAATCACTGTGAGTTCGAGACCAGCCTGAACTACATAGTGAGTTCCAGGTCAGTCTCAACTACATAGTGAGACCCTGTCTCAAAAAAACCAAAAAAATAAAAAATAAAACTCATGAAAGTGTAAAGTGTTTCTTTGCGACGTTTCCAGCCAGTGATTTGGACTTCCATAAATTGTATAGGAAGTAAGTTTTAGGCCTTGACATTTTTCCTAAGCAGAAAACAAATGAAGCAGAAACCAATTGGGACAAGTTAGAGAAATTAGGGGAAGGAAAAACAAAGCAATGTTAAGAGCAACACTTTAGTGCATGTTTCTCACACTTTGAAAATTTGTGTAAATTGGGTGTTTGAAATAGTTTCACTTTGGGCATTATGTTTCTGTTTTGGGCATTGCAGACTTATGCTCATACTTTTTTGGGGGGTGTTCTTTTTGGTATCGAAGATCAAACTCAGGACCTTGCACTTGCGAGGCAGATAACAGCACCACTGAGCTAAATCCCCAGCCCTGATACTTGAGTTCTACAGAAACTAGCCTAGGAATACTTCTTTGCTAACCTGATTCAAATGCTTTAAAAATTTACTTTTCTGCCAGGTATGATGGCACATGCCTGTAATTCCCCTCAGGAGGATGGCAAGTTCAAGGCCAGCCTGGGCTACATAGTGAATTCAAAGTCAGCCTGAACTACATAGCTAGACCCAGTCTCCAAAAAAAAAAATTCACTTTTCCCATGAACTAGGTGGTAAACTGATCTCTCAGTGGATAACTCATCCAAACCATTGATGTATACAGCAAATTAGATTGAGACAAACTAATATCTTATAATTAGAAAAATTAGAGGGGCCGGGGATTTAGCTCAGCAGTTCGGTGGCCTGCCTTGCAAGCGCAAGGACCTGAGTTCAACCCCCGGTACCAAAAAAAAAAAAAAAGAAAAATTAGAAATTTCAATGCTGTACCCCCATCCCCAGCTCATTGTCTTTGCATTTCAGCTTCTTTTTTTTTTTAAATATTGAGACAGGGTCTTGCTAAGTTACTAAATTGCTTAGGATGGGCTAGAACTTGCCATCTTGCTGCCTTAGCCTCCCAGAGTGCTAGGATTATAGGTTTTGTTTGTTTTTTTGTTGTTTTGTTTTGTTTTGTTTTTTCTTTTTTGGTACCAGGGATCAAACTTGGTACCTTGCACTTGTGGGGCAGGTGGCGGCACCACTGAGCTAAATCCCCAGCCCTAGGATTACAGTTGTGTGCCACTAAATCCCCAGCTAGATTTTAAAGCTTTTCAGCATCAAAACTTTATAATATAGATAAAACTGGAGCTCTTCTGGTTACTAGGAGTAGGGAAAGAAGCAGAGTTTGTGCTTTTTTAATAAAAGTAGAAATGGATTGGCCGGGCATGGCGGTGCACACTGTAATCACAGCACTGGGGAGGCTGAGGCAGGAGGATCGCTGTGAGTTTGAGACCAGCCTGGGTTACATAGTGAGTTCCAAAAAAAAAAAAAGTAGAAATGGAAATCAAGAAGAAATTATTTGTCTTGTGACAGTGATTTGTTAGAAGCTTGGGCAGCACTCTTAAGGTTATTTCTCCACTTTCAGTTGTAGGGACCCAGTTGTAAATGTGATGACTAATAAGCACATTATGCAAAGCATTTTCCATTTCATGGGCTGCAAGGAAGGTGTTTAAGCATTTCTTGCTCTAGCTCAACATTGAGGTAACTATAATACTGAATTATGTGGGCAGTCTTGTGTATTAATCATGTAGTGATTTAATGGACAACCAAGTCCATTGTCTCCGATGTTGGGATAGTTCTTGAGTGTGGAAATACTGATACTGTACCCATTTTCTTTCACATTTAATAACCCTTTAAACTAGCTGAATTCTAATCAGTAGTATTTAAAAATGCTCATTTCCTTATACCTTGTCGGTTCTAGTAATAGACTATAATTTGAGCAATCTAATGCATTAAAATAGTATCTTTATTTTTTTATTTCTATGTTTAGTAATAAGGTTGCTCACTTTTTAAATTTTTTGGCAGGTTACATAAATTACATATTCATTTTTTTCTAATGTGCCTTTTTCATATTTCAAGACGTTTTATGATATAGATCAGCACTGTCCAGTAAACTTTCTGTGGTGATGAAAATGTTTTACATCTGCATAAGAAGAAAATAGCCATACGTGGTTCTTGAGCACCAGAACTGTGACTCATGTGACAAAGGGATTGAAAAATTTTAGTTCATCTAAATAGCCATATACGTTATGGCTTTCATATTATTGCAGATTTAGATAGCCTGACTTAGCTGTGTCATTCTGTTATCTTTAGGAAGTTAGAGAACTTAATGTACATTTATTGAGTACCTGCTGTATGCTGTGCACCACCAACAAATAAGAGATGTGTTCTCAACCCTCAAGAATTTCACAACCTAAATTGGCTGGTGGTGCATGTTTTGTAATTCTAGCAATCAGGAGGCTGAGGCAGGATAATTGCCCCTTGTGCTACATAGTGAATTCAAGGACAGCCTGAACTACAAGGTAAGACCCTGACTCAAGAAGGCAAAAAAAAAAAAGAATTTCACAGCCTACCTGTGATCTAAAAAATAGATCAATAAAGAGTAACTGCATTGGGCTGGGGATTTAGCTCAGTGGTTCCACCACCTGCCTCGCAAGCACAAGGACCTAAGTTCGATCCCGGTACCAAAAAAAAAAAAAAAAAGAAAGTAACTGCATCATCAACAAAATTAGATCTGGTGGAAGTGGGAGACGTTCTTGAACTAA